AGAAATGGCAAATTATTTAATGAGACACTTGTTTTTGCTTATTTTTTGATAACTTCTCCATATCACAGATGAAATTTTTGTTGTAGACAGAAGCAAACCATTTTGTAAGTGGTCATCACCCAGCCTTGTTCCTAAACGACTTTTAGCATATTTCAGTTTCATAAAGCATATAGACATCCAAATAATGTTACCATCATTTTCGCATTATTCAATAGGCTTCCATCCTGCTTGGCAAAACATTTTTCTTGCAGAAGTCAGCAGTGGATTCGGAATTAAATTTTGATTCCAACAATTAGTCGATTAACCCCAACTGATATTTTTCTGCCACTTGCTCTACAAATGAATTAGAAAGTTAGTGTCCAGATATTAAGCTGGCAGGCTGGACAATGGCCCGGGGGTCGGGGGTGTAGAACCCTATTTTAGTTTTATCCTAGAGGCATGAATAACCTTGTAACTCGATGATAGAAATGTATAGATGTTCAGGATTCATGTTTTGACTGATTTAGTCACTGTTTAAGTGAATTCATTCAGGAATAAAAGTTGATTCTATAATTGAACATTATTTTACGAACAGCCTAATATTTTTGTCGCTTTATGCTTTGTTCAGTTTCTGGTGATTTTCATTATTTCTGAGCTTTCGAAATTCTGTTTTTCACTTTATTTATTCTGTTAATACCTCAGATCGTTGGTACAATTAATAGTTATTTCTTCTTCTTTTTCGTCAAAAACTTTGTTTATTAATACAGTTCACATTTTGAGTCTACCACCAATATGGCGTCGTCTGAGTAGCGAATATTGTTACAGCTACGTCTGCCGATAACATCCATGTATATCATATTTGCTGTCAAAGTTTTTTTTTTTTTCTGACTGTCTCTATGTAATAAAAACATTTTTCTAATGTTTAGTTATTATTAATCTTTTTTTAAAAATAACTTTACTACTTCTTTACAACTCAGAAACTGAGAAATGTAACTAAAAGTTGTGGTTTTAACAAATACAGGCGTAGATAAAAAACTTGAAATTGAATGAAACAATATAATTTTTAATTCCGTATAGCCATTTTTTTTGTTTTTACTAAAGTTCACTCAATTCAATACACTCGTGGTGGAAGGTTATTGGACGAGGAGTGAGATACGAATGTAAAAGGGAGAAGATGGAAATGATGATTATGAGGATAAGACGGAGAGAATGTGGGGGGATTCGACTCAACAAGGCGAATAGTAGCCATAAAGGTCTGAACTGATACAACTAAAGTTGTTGCGTTGCATCTCAGACCGGACATCAAGGTGCAGTTTTTTGTTTTTGTTTTTTTTTTTTTCCCAATGAAACGCTTGTGGCTGAAAAATTACCCTTCGGATAAACAAGAGGGAAAAACAAAATAATTTCTAGCAGTAAACAAGTTTTTATTCACGGGTTGTAACCTATTGCTATAAGCAAGCGAAGTAGAGATAAGCCGTAGGTGAGGAGGGTCCACAGTTCAGCGGCCGTCTTCTCTGTCCGTTCTGCATAACCAGCTTCGTTCCTTTTTTCGTTTTTTATAGACAATCCTCTATTGTCTTCATCTAAAAAAGTAATTTATTTTCCTTCCGTGACTTTCTCTCAGTCTGAGCCTCTTGCTCTATACTTTGAAGTTGACTTCATTTACTGATAACTATCGGTCGAAAGTAAATGTCCTGTATCCACTTTTGCGACAGGTCCCGCTGTTTTTCAATTTAAAAAGACCTCAGCTTGACTCGTATTGCAAATAGCGTCACCATGGCGATAGGCTTGCGACTTTGCGTCGGTGAGGAAAAACGCTGCAGAGTGGAAAACGAACTTATTTTCGACTCTGCAGCCTCTCTTGCTTGTAGACCCTGTTAAAGATTTTGAACTCTATTACGACTAGAAAGTTGAGATGGGGTAGATCCAGTCCATGTATGGCAGCAATACTCCGAACCCTCCCCCCACACACACCGGGAAAGCAAGTCTGATTGGTTACATCTGACACTGATTTACTAGCTATCTTATCAATATTTGCTTTTTTTTTCTACCTACATTTATATATTTTACAAATTAAACAAAGTACAAGGAGAAAAAAATTGTGGATATTTGACGTCATTGTGGGGGTCTTTTTTTCGTTCAAATCCGTGAATTTATTTTGCTCATGCTAAATATAGAAAAAATTAAATAAAATTAATTATGTTTTATCCATAATGTTGAATTTGTTTAAATTATTCAACATTTTGACAAGAAAAATCTCCAGTTGTTGTTCAAACATTGTTGATTTAAGATGGAATGAGCTATTATGACATGTCTCTAATTTGTATTTAGATACATTGGATTTATTTTCAATTTTTTTAGTTGGAATTGTTTGCCTATATTGCAAATGAACCATTATGGTACATAATTAGATTACAATAAAACTTGTATTTTTAATGAATACTACTTTCGGAAAATAAGGATGTTGTAGATTATTATAGATTCAGGGTTGGTGGGTACGAGACCCTTACATCAGCCATGTCTATGGATCTTGGGGCAGACCATACTTCTTCGAAGATTTTGGTCTGGCGCTGCAGAATGATAAACAAAGAACTGCACCAAATAAACTGATGACATATCACATGTAACTCGATGAGAAAATAATGAGAAAATCAAGAGTTTGACGTTCACACAATTTCAAATAAAAGGTTAGGATAGAAACCCCCACCAAAGTGCGATAACAGCTTCTGGTCTTGAGAAATCTGATTTCCTGAGAAATTGTTTTAAGAGAAAGTTTTTAGAAATTTCAATTGACAGCAGCATTGGCTGCTCTTTCAATGAATGCCGAATGTTTCCTTATAAGGAAACGGTTAATATTACTATTATCATTACAGATGAGGAGAATAGATATTATACTTTGATCCCACCCCGATAGCCAGGGAGCGAAGAAAAGCGTAACGAGTAGCACTGGCTGCTCGGTCATTAGAGATGAGGAGGACAAATTTGATCCCATCACGGTGGTTGGGAGTGAAGAAAAGCGTAACAAAGGTAGCATTGGCTAACAAATGTTTCCTTGTAAGGAAACGGCTAATATTACCATTACCATTAGAGATGAGGAGAACAGATACTACTTTGATCCCATCCCGATGGCCAGGGAGTGAAGAAAAGCGTAACGAGTAGCACTGGCTGCTCGGTCAATGAATGCCGAATGTTTCCTTATAAGGAAACGGCTAACCATTAGAGATGAGGAGAAAATATACTACACTTTGATCCCATCACGGTGGTCAGGGAGTGAAGAAAAGCGTAACAAAGGTAGCACTGGCTGCTTGGTCAATGAAGGACAAATGTTTCCTTGTAAGGAAACGGCTAATATTACCATTACCATTAGAGATGAGGAGAACAGATACTACACTTTGATCCCATCCCGATGGCCAGGAGTAAAGAAAAGCGTAACGAGTAGCAATGCTCGGTCAATTGCCGAATGTTTTATAAGGAAACGGCTAATATTACCATTAGAGATGAGGAGAAAATATACTACACTTTGATCCCATCACGGTGGTCAAAGGTAGCACTGGCTGCTTGGTCAGAAATGTTTCCCATTGTAAGTAAAGAAACGTAACCAACCATTAGAGATGAGGAGAACAGATACTACACTTTGATCCCATCCTGATGGCAATGAAAAGGAACAAATGGCTGCTTGGTCAATGAAACCGAATGTTTCCTTATAAGGAAACGGCTAATATTACCATTAGAGATGAGGAGAAAATATACTACACTTTGATCCCATCACGGTGGTCAGGGAGTGAAGAAAAGCGTAACAAAGGTAGCACTGGCTGCTTGGTCAATGAAGGACAAATCGGTCATTATTACCATTACCATTAGAGATGAATGTTTCCCATCCTGATGGCCAAGGAAGAAAAGGCGAGTAATAATTACCGAATTAGAAACGAATTTACCATTAGAGATTAAATTATTTACCCAATTATTATTTCTTTTATAAATTCAGCAAAATTTCTAATTCTCACTCCTCATATAGTTTCGACAAGAGATATTAATTACTTAGAAACATATTCTTCGGAGTTACTTTCTTCTGAGAGAAAATCATCTCGGATAATTCACTCATATTGGTTTGTTTTAAAAAAGACTGACTTTCTAATATCAGGCTTAATGAGAGAAAAATAATCATATCCCAGGGAAACCATCGCAGACGAGACATATATTAGAAAAAAATTAATTTTCATACAGTGATCACTGACCGCGAAAAAGATATCAGATATCTCCTGCTTTTTGACAGTTCGTTTTACGTTGTTTCGCTTTTTTTCAGCGTAGTTTTCCCTCGTTATCCGAATTGGTGTTAAGCGAAGAAAGAATTAATATTAATTTATGCTGTCCGTCCCAAGGTTCCTTGACAAAATCCATAGAAGGATATCCAATGTGGTTGGCACTGATCTGGCATCTGGTCTACAGTCGCTCTCTCACAGACCTGCCGTCGCTTCCCTCTGTCTTTTCTATAAATACTTTCACTGTAACTGCTCCGATGAGCTACTTTCACTGGTTCCCAAACTGCATGAATTAAAGCGAGCTACTAGGTCGACATCTCAGTCTCACCCTTTCACCGTCGAAACTGTTAAATGTAGCCGTCTCTTCTACTCCAATAGCTTCATGTCTCGCACTTCCCGTGTGTGGAACTCCCTTCCTCTTACTTGCTTCCCTGAGAGCTATAATCTTCAATTATTCAAATGTAATGTCAATCGACATCTTCAGATGCCTTAATCTATTTTCCGACCTTCTCGTTATCCTTTCCTCTATTAAGCCTCTTTACTCTTGTTCCCATGCTTTGTAATCCCTTGCGTGCTCGTGGCACTCCCGCCTTACCTGGGGTGAAATGCTTTAAAAAGATATGAAAATTTTTTTTTTTCAAATCGACAAAATAATCTTTCTCTATGTCGATATTCGCCGTGTACCGTAGCTGATGTGGGAGGCTTGATATAAAACTTTATGGTTGACCGCTTATCCCACATACAAATATTTATTCGGATTATAGCCATATCATGTTAAACTACCGGTTCTCGTCCGATCACCGAAGTTAACCAACGTCATGTCTGGTCCGTACCTACATGGGTGACCGCTTGAGAATACCAGCTGCTGTAAGCTTAGATATGTGGGTGGTGTAATGGATAATAGCTAGGCGAGTCGAGTTCAAATTCGTTATATTCACATATGTGAAATATGTGTGACTTTTTTTTTTTTTTTTAAAGATGCTGAATGGAAATTGTCATGATGACATTTTTGACCTTATGTCGGGACCCGGAAAGAAATGAGTACACACCAGAAATCAAAGGAAATAAAATAATAAATGAATAATAATAATAATATCAGTAATGAGATCGAGTCAGAGTGATGACACTGGACGATACAAAAATAAATATGAGCAATTTTAAAAGAAAAAGTTGAAATTATCAAATATTCCATTTGAAAAACCATAGCAAAAGATAAAAATAGATTGCGGTATATATACAGAGAAAGATATAGATATGTAAAGGCTGAGATAGTTAAATATATATATATATATATATATATATATATATATATATATATATATATATATATATATATCTGTGTGTGTGTGTGAACAGGCTGAGATAAATATTGATTGATTCATTCATTTTCTATGGCTTATCAACCATTTGCAGGTTATTTAAAGCCATTTAGTCCAGTAGCTGTTAAGGTTCTTTCCACTATTGGTAGAGTTTTTCTTCCTAACCATTTACTTGAAGTAGTGTGGAATGTCAACATTTGTTTATATCATTATTTTCTCTTTGAGTTACATGTGCTATCCATTTTAGTTGTTGCTACTGTTGATAGTCCTCAAGTGATGTGGTTTCTGTTATTTGGTACAGTTCTTTGCTTGTGATTGTGTAGCGCCAGTCTACAATGTTCAAAGAAGGATGATCGTTTCCATGACCCTCTATCTTTACTCGATCAAAACCTTTTTTCACGTTCAGTAGATGTTATCGCTTTCTCCATTATTAATGAGTGTTTCCTCCCTAAACTTTTATTTTTAGTGGTGGGGAACATTAACATTTTTATTAAGTCATTATTTTCTCTTCGATTTACATGCGCTATGCATTTTAGTCGTTACTGCTGTTAGTAGTCCTCAAGTGATGTAGTTTTTGTTATTTGATAGAGTCCTTTGTTATCTAGTAAAAGATAGATAGATAGATAGAAACAAAGTGAGGTGGCAATGGTATTGGTAATAATTGCTATTCTCCGTATAAAGTCAGTTCTACTTTTAGTTCAAATTTATAAAATCTTTGTCTTAAAACAGTTTTCAAGAAATTAATTTTCTTAAGTCCTTTAAATGCTCTTTACAAAATTAATAGAGGGTTCCTTCCTAAACTTTTGTTTAAAATATTGAAGAAAGTTAACATTTTATCAGTGTTTTCTCTTTTAGTTCCATGTAATATCCATTTTAGCTGTTACTGCTGTTGAAAGTCTTCAAGTGATGTGGTTTCTTTTATTTGGTACAGATCTCTGTGATTCTGTAGCGTCAGTCCTAGAGGTTCGAAAAAAGATAGCCCTCGCTATGACTTCATTCGCTCAAACCCATCTTGAACTATTGATTAGAAAAAGCGAAAAAGTAGTGAATTTGGTCGAAATTCGAACTCGGCTCCCCAAGTTCTTTTACTGTGTAGCTAACCATTACTGTACCCGCATATGCATTTTTAGTGAAATATTGAAAAAAAAAAACAAAAAAAAACTGCGTGAAGGATTTCTCACCAAATTTGATTCCTCGGAGACAGCAAAGATCGTTATGAGAAGAATTTGGGTTAAATGTTATTAATGTAATATTAACTTCTCCCTTGTATGTAATTGCCTTCGCACAAAATAAAAAGGATCAGTAAAACAGAATTTTTTCGTTCACAAACGCTCACACATCTTTTTTTTTATTATTATTAAATTTCAAGCGTCTCTGATATTGATATGAAACAATGAAAGGAGGCATCAAAAGACCCCGCTAATTATTTTCATTCAACGAAATCAATTTATGCTACGTCATCTGCGCGTGGACTACACATGTGCAATTATCAGCGCATGCTCAAATCTTAATAATTTGTGCGACACAAGCATAAATGAAGTCATTATTTGTAGACACGAGAAAAGCTCATAAAAACGGAACAATATTATTGGGTAGCCTAAAATTTCGTCCATTTTTTTTTTTTTTTTGTAGCTGGAGAGCATTTAAGTTTAGTTTTAAAGAACCTGATAAAATATATTTGTGCTGAATGTCTTGCTTATTTGCATCTTTAAATAAAAAGCTGCTAATATTGACAATGTGTAACATGCAATTAAAAACAATCTGTTATCATCATCATCATCATCATCAACAGTCATATGTCCGGGTGTGGTCGTATGGTCGCTTCGTAGCTGGTCACCCGACTAGTCCCTCCACATATCTGGGTTAAAAGTCGGATAGTTGTCCATTCATGTGACGAATGTCTTGTTGGGCAAGTAGACCTAGCGAAAACTGTCCCTCTCTAGGTCAAACCACAATCGATGTCCTTCAACTTGATCGCTCGCAATGTTGACAGATATATGTCCGTTGATTCAATTGTGGGTAGGTGAAAACCCTCCGCTCTAACCCTTGACTTCAGTCTCGGAAGACCTCTGGCTAATGATGCTGTGTCGTCACCGCACTGGCGCAGTCTAACCGTGGTCGATTTGTTTTGAACCTACAAAAAGGTTCGTCCACCCTTTTACAGGTTTTGTTTTTAGTCTTACTCAATTTATAGCACCTCGCTTCACCAGAAGAGCCTGGTGGTTGAACCGGTTTAGTCGTCGATGAGCCAATCATGCGTCAGGTAATAATGGGTTGCATGGTACAATGGCAGAATTACCTGACGTAACAGCCTTTTAATAGTCACAAAAAAGTAGTCGACCTAGGGCAATGTCGTCTTCGTCCCTTTTGTATTCTTCACACTAATTCCAGAGGCCTTTTCACTTGACAAAATATCCAGAAAAGTTTTATCCCAACTGCTTATTACCTAAGAAGGCATTTCGCTGATTTCATTCACACAAAGCACGGAGATAAAGCCATTAAGACGCATGGGCATGAACGAATATGAGAAAATGAAAAATAAGTGAGAGAACAATAACAGAATAGAAATTAAGGGAAGATAATTATTGATATCGAATTTAAATCTTTGAAGATCACAGTTCACTGGAAAGCAAGAAGACGGAAGGGAGTTCCGCAAGTGAGAAGTGTGAGACGAGAAGCTCTTAACATAGAATTTACGGTTACATCTAGTAATTTCAACAGTTAATTGATGAGACCCAGCTGCCAATCTAGTTCTGTGCATAAATTCGTATACTCGAGGTACCAAAGAGGCAAGTTCACCACAAGAGTTACGATGAAACTATTTATAGAAAAGGTACTTTACGGCGGTAGAAACATGAATGAAGTTGAGATGCCAGGTCAGGGGAGATAACACTGCAGAATGTTGCATCTCGTCAATTCAACTTTTAAACTGTTGAGACCTTACCGCCAATCCAGTATTGCAGTTAAATTTCTAAAGTCTAGTTAACATAGCGGAGAGTTCATCCGAAAAGTTACCATGAAAGTATTTATAGAATACATATTTATAGGATATATATATATATATATATATATATATATATATATATATATATATATATATATATATATATTCACTGGGTAGCAACTTTATGGAGATGGAAAAGTGACTGAAGCCGAGACACCAGGGCAGGACTAAATATACAGCTAGAGCAACGGACCAGATGTAGCAGCAATATAAAAAGCAAGGACGAATGTAAAAATTTAAGATAGATAAAAACTGTCTAGTACGACACAGTGAACCAAATTTCTTAGTAGCAGACCAAAGAATGAATTCAATATAATCTTTCCACTTTCATGTCAGCCGAGAATGTAAGCCCGAGAAGGCGCAGTCAGTCATACTCCTGGAGGTTAGTATCAACCATGCTGATAGGATCAGAAAGGAATCTTGCAGGTGATAGATAGAGAGATGCATTGTTTTGGAGGCGTTAAAACTAACAAGCAATTCCTTGCCCCAGTTAACAACAGACTGTATTCACAAGTTGAGAATGTTCTCCGGTAGACCGTTAATATATATGCAGATAAAGGGCAGGACCGATGAGAGAGCGTCAGGGAAACCTGCATTGATCTCATGGGAATCAAAGGACTGGCCATTAACAACGAACTTTACAGACGTACCTGATAGGAAGGATTTCACAAACAAGAAGACTCACCCAGAAATGCTATTGCTACACCATGTCAACAAATTTTGAGATATCTAAGCCATTCACTCTCGTGATGGATTCTTCACTGATTTTATGCGTAATGATAGTTAAAACATAAGCAGTGGACCTAGAAGAGCGAAATCCATACTGTTCGTCGCCAAGGAAGTTGTTTCTGTTGAGACGATTGACAACCTTTTTGTTGATGATAGCCTCAAAAATTTTGCTGATGATTCTGGGGAGGCAGATGGGGCGTTATTATGACGAGGATGATCGCTCACTTGCATTCTTGTAAACTGGGCATACAGCAGGCACCTTCCATAGACCTGGAAAATTCTCCTTCAGGCAGCAGTTAAACAAGCTTAGGGCTATGGCTAAATTCCTGTAGTTGTTCAAATTCCTGTAGTTGTTAAACTACAGGAATTTGACCCGGACCAGTAACTTTCGTAATGTCGTTTTACATCTCTGGAAACTACCCGAGCCTAAATCTTGCTTAATTTTTATTGTATTTTTCCAATTTTTGGATGTATTGAGTATACTGCTCGAAGTTGTGAATAAACTGTCTTAAGATCATATTTTGTTATTTTTATTCAAGTACTTTTAACTTCCGCAGTCATTGTCAAGGACCGATGTGGTGTCTGTGTGGTAGTTACTCGAACAAAATTAGCAAAATATGAACTTTGGACAGATTATCCACAACTTAGAGAACAATGCTCAACACCTTATCCGACAATTGTCGGTTCTTTTTCAGCAAACTTCTTTGTGTATATATATATATATATATATATATATATATATATATATATATATATATATACGATGGGTAAATTGTCGTTATTTTATTTTTTTTTTTAATTTAATGCATGCGCGTTGTTT